TATACACACACACACACATACATACACACACACCAAAAAGTCCACCTTATAAACCTTAGATGTTGCAGCTTTACAACTTGTGATAGGCATGTGTCATTCACATTTGACTAAATCAAAATAATTGACTGATTGAGCAGATTAATAATATTAAATGATGAAAGCATTGCTTAGATGTGCAGCCCAAAATCCATGCATGGAACAGTATGTGGACACACAAGAGTCCCATCTTTTTTGGCGACTGGTGCACACAGGTGTGGATGAAAACATCCCTGCTGCTGTGGGTCACATTTTTAAACAGGTGCATGGTTGGTACTTGCTTTATCTTCACCCGCCTTACATTCAATCACTGTTGGGGGCCACAGCAGCTACTGCCGGGAGCTTCGGCGTCTTTCTTCAGCACAGTGGGCCTCACCACGTCCACATCACGGTGCAGGTGATCCAGTAAGCCTGTGACGATGCTGGGAGCTGCGTAGAAGTCGACCAGAAAGTATGCCCCCCGGGTGTGCTTTTGATTGTGCTTGGTTATCTTGTAGGGCAGGAGTCTCTCTCCCAGGTTCTCCAGGTCCCTCACCACCGCGCCCCGCTCCATCAAAGTCTCCACCGACCGCCGGAGAGCAGCAGCTGTCTCCGGCCGCTGCATCGCCTTCAGGATCAAGGCCAGCTCGTAGCGAGGCATGGCTTCGGCTAAGAGATCCTCGACTCACACTTTTAATTCAGCCGGCACTGGGCTAGTGTCATTGCCAGGTTACTCAGTTCAAAGACGACCATGTTATGACACGAGGGACAGGAAGGGTCCTTGGAGATGACGTATAAAGCATGCGCCTTGTTGACCTCGACATGGCTAATTAAATATTAAAAATAAGGAGAAAGGAAGAAGGAACGGTGTGTAAAATGTCGTGTAATTTAATTAGTATTTTATTTAGCAATTAGCTTCAGGGAAAAGTAACCTATGAAGTGTATGCTGACGTCGTCATTATGCGCCTGTGCACATGCCCACAAGTGACGGTTCCGTTCACTTCCTTCCCTTCGAGAAGGATCGTGGTGAAGATGGCGGCGCAAAATTCGACACCGAGTGATCTTTACAAAATGCGTTTATTCGTTTCTCCTGGAGAACAAAGTTCACCAAGGCGGCTCAGCAGTTTCTGAAACAGACTAAAGTGGTAAGCGGCTCACCTTGTGTCGTTGACAGCCAGCTGGCCGTGCTCCAGGTGTCCAGGTGCTTTGACGTAAAGTAAAGACAGACTGCACGAGGAGTAACCTCAGTACAACGGCAGCTGTGTGCACAGACCACACGGCCACCGGTAAAGTTAGCACGTGTAGGGACACACAGTCAAGTTGTGTTTCAACTGCCCCCTCTTTCTCCTGTACTAATTAACATTTCCGTCTGATGGATTGTGAATGAAAATCACAGTGTTAAAAATGTAGGCAAATGATTAACGTTACTTTCCACAAACTTTATAAAGGCTGAAAGTGTTTGACTGAAGTCAGTGCCTCGCGTGTTTCTCTGCAGACTCCACAGGATCAAAATGAAGAAAGCCTCGTCGACATCTACAACTTCTGGGTGAAGTGAGTAGCTTATTGACTTTCGCTCCTATTTCAAAGCTCACGTTTATTTAGTTTATATTAATATCAATAAACTTGGAAAATATGGCCGCCAGCTTTGCGAGTCGTTTCTCTCCCCCATCAAATGTCACTGCTAACATGTAACGTTAGCGTTAGACACGTTGTCTCAGTCAAAACCTCTCAAAGCGAAAATGTATCCTGAAGCAGACTTTTTTGGACTTTAAATTCAATATCTCCAAACATAGTCTTCTTTAGCAGGTCAATGTGAAATGCATTTCCTTGTAAAACTAAATTAATTTGGAACAAAACACCACTGCTGCTGCCCCAATATCCTAGGGTTTATTTGTTGTCTCTAGCATATTTGTCTCCAGTTAACAACAATACGCTCTGTCCCTTCTGTTTAGCTTGAGGAGAGACTTATGCTGTTTATTTTATGAATGACAGGTGGATTGTATTTTAGAGTAGAGTCTCCCTTTTTAATATCACTTTTGGTTGTTCTAGGTCTCCTGAAACCAAGAAACGAAAAGCACCTACCAACAAGGCTGAAGCTTCAAATGGCCCATCAGCCAAGAAAGCAAAAACCAGTACAGAGAGCTCCAGCAGTGAAGAGTCGAGCAGTGAGGATGAAGCTGTTGCAAAACCAATTAAAGCAGCCCCTGCAGGTAATATTAATATACTGTATTTGACACAGCACCTAGAAGGCTGGCTGATTGGTCAGTAATGTGCCATTCTGAAACCAGCATTATCAGATTACATTTGTTTGTTTCAGCAGCCAAGGTGGTGCCTGCTAAAGCAGCAGCTAAAGCTGCATCCAGCAGCAGTGAAGACTCCAGTGAATCAGAGGAGGAGAAGGTTCCTGCAAAGGTAGGGAGGATTAATTAATGCAATTTGTTTGTGGGTTTATGCTGTTATTAAAATGTATTTTCTGCATGTAGGCTCCTGTGAAGCCGCCTGCTGCAGGCAGCTTGAGGAAGAAAGACAGCAGCTCTAGTAGTGAAGAATCTGACTCGGAGGATGAGCAGCCCGCCAAAGCTGCTGCACCAAGTTAGTTTGTAGCCAGAGGTCATGAATATCGTATAATGCAACTGTCTTTAATTGTGAACTAAAAATAAACTGATAATGTGAATGCGTTTTGTCAGATTTACTTAATTTACCTCTGAAAAACAGAACCCAAGGCTGGTGCAGTCACAACACCCAAACCAGCTGTTCCTGCTAAAGGTGCCGCTCTGAAAAAGCAGGAGAGCAGCAGTGAAGAGAGTTCCTCAGATTCTGAAGATGAAAGAGCCAGCCAAGGTATGCTAAAAGAATCTGGACACATTTTTTTTTTTTTGTTTGTTCATCTTTATTCTAGAGCTTAAAATAACGTAGAGCTTAATCAAATGGTGAGTGCAGTAGATAAACGTATACCACAGACCACATGATTATGTCACATGTCCTGATAGGCTCCAGTCAAACCCGCCCCAGTGAAGGCTGCTGCACATGCTGCTGAATCGAGCAGTGAAGACTCTTCATCTGAAGACGAGGGCTCCACCCAGCAAAAAAACAAAAGCAGGTGTGTGTGTTTTGTTTACCATTGTGTATGCTCAGTGGCCTCCACGCACTACACAATAACAGCCCGACAGTGGCTCCATATAATTGCACCAAGGCCGTGTGTGTTATGTCATGATGCTGATCAGCTTCTTTTGTCTTGGTAGGAGCATACAGCGCTGTCCCACCTCCTGCTTCAGTCCAGAAAGCTCCAGCTGCACCAGCAGCCAGCAAGGCCAAGGACAGCGACTCCTCGGATACCAGTGATGACAGCAGTGACGAGGAAAAACAAAAGAAAGTAGCTGGTAAGAGATGCTCAACTTATGTCAACTTGGAAGTGTCAGTGTTTTTAATGGCGTGTCTAAAAGCACTGTAATCCTCACAGTGAAACCAGTCAAGGCCGCTGCTGCCAAGCCTGGTGTGCCCAAACCTACTGCAAAGAAGCAGGAGTCCAGCTCTGAGAGCTCAGGTAACAATCAGAATCCCAGTCATTTTCTAATTGGCGTGATCCAATGCCTGTGAACATGTGACAAATGTTTTTCCAGATTCAAGCTCTGAAGAGGAGACAAAGAAGCCCGCAGCCAAAGTCACCCCAGCTAAAGCAGCCCCAGTCAAACCTGTCCCAGCAAAGGCTGCACCTGCTAAAAAAGAAGACTCAGACTCATCAAGTTCAGAGGAGGAAGAGGAGGTGAAGAAACCTGCAGCGAAGATGACTCCCGCTAAGACGGCTCCAGCTAAACCTGTTGCAGCTAAAGTCACACCTGCTAAAGAAGAGTCCTCAGAGGAGGATTCCAGTTCAGAGGAGGAGGAGACTGCAAAGAAGCCCACAGCTAAACCTGCACCTGCCAAGACTACTACCCCCGCTAAAAAAGACGAGTCCTCAAGCTCGGGTAAGAGACACCAGACTCTGAGCATGTGAACTCAGCATTTCTGTAAGTGAAATTGTTCTTGATTAGAGGTGTGCAATACGTATCGTCCACAATAATATCTTAATTGTTGTTTTAAAGAAGTGTGAGCAGATATTATCAAGCAAGCTATGTCATCAAAAACACCTTGCAGTACATGTGTGGTAGAGTTTAACAAGCAATATCTGCTGAAAAATGCATGACTGAAGTTAAAATGACTGAACAAAGAGTGCCAGGAGATAAAACACTGATACCACCAGCCTCGCAATCTGCGTTGTTAGATTGAATTGCTAGATGTGGATCAACCTTACTCGCATGGAGGTAAGACGGAAAAGACGGACGTCGTAAGTTGGTTGCCGTTTAAAGATCACAAACTAACCACCACACGGAATATCAAGAGTTTGAAAATCTTCGTGAGTCAGGTAGGTACCAGCACAAAAACACACTTTGGTTCAAAAACCATTGCAGTGATGATGACGACACAACCAAAGCCATTTAAACTCTGTTGCATTATATTGAGAGGTGGGATTTGGGAAATTGGGATTTATTGTGGGGCAGTTGTATTAGTCTGACTTGCTGTTTAGTTAGGTGTACCTAATAATAAACTGGCAACTGAGTGTACATTCATGTGTCTTCATGAAAAATCCTCAAAATATAAATTTTTGTTCATCCCAGAATCAGATGGCAGCTCTGAAGATGAGGCTCCTGCAAAACCTGCCACTAAAGCTGCAGCCCCAAAGATACCTGCTGCTGCTTCTAAACCTGCAGCCAAGGCGGCAGAGAGCAGCTCTGATTCAGAGGACTCCTCTGAGGATGAGGAAGAGCCAGTGAAAGCCAAGCCAGCGGCTAAACCAGCTACCCCAGCTTCAAAGCCTGCTACTCCTGCAGCTAAGCCTGCTGCTGCAGCAGAGAGCAGCTCAGACTCTGACTCCTCTTCTGAAGATGAAGAACCAGTTAAGGCTAAACCTACAGCAGCTAAACCGGCTGCTGCTAAACCATCTACCCCGGCTTCAAAGCCTGGTACTCCTGCAGCAAAGCCTGCTGCTGCAGCAGAGAGCAGCTCAGACTCTGACTCCTCTTCTGAAGATGAAGAACCAGTTAAGGCTAAACCTGCAGCAGCTACACCAGCCTCAAAGCCTGGTACTCCTGCTGCAAAGCCTGCTGCTGCAGAGAGCAGCTCAGAATCTGACTCCTCCTCTGAGGATGAGGAAGAAGTGGTGAAAGCCAAGGCGGCAGCAGCTAAGCCTGCAACACCGGCTGCAAAGCCTGCTGCAAAGCCTGCTGCAAAGCCTGCTGCAAAGCCTGACAGCAGCTCGGATTCTGATAGCGATAGCTCAGACTCAGAGAATGAGGCAGCCAAACCTGCAGTCAAGAAACAAACTCCAGCAGCAGCCAAGAAACCTGCCCCTGCTGTCAGCAAGGCTCCTGCAGACACCAATGATGACAGCTCCAGTGACGAGGAGGAACCCAAGAAGGCAGTGCCCTTACCCAAGCCCGCAGCTGCAAAAAAGAAGGCTGAGGAGAGCAGCTCCGACTCCTCGGACAGCTCTGATTCTGAGACGGAGACCAAGTCCACCCCTGCTAAGCCTGCAGTCACCAACGGCAAGGCAGCAACACCCAAGGCTGCAGCAGCCAAGACCCCTGCAAAGCCAGCAGAGTCCTCCTCCAGTGACAGTAGCTCTGAAGAGGAAGAGGAGGCCAGTAAAAGTACTGTAAAACCTGCTGCAACAGCCAAGACCACCTCTGCAACTAAACCTAAAGAGAGCAGCAGCAGCTCCTCAGACAGTTCATCAGAGGAGGAGGAAGCACCACGCAGAGCAGCCACAGCACCCAACACCCCCGCAACAAATGGTACGTCTCAAACAACATGTGGCCATTTAACAGGGAGATTAAATATATTAATGGGTAAACTGCACACTGGGTGGATCCCTCAGCCAGCCATTACTAGAAATGGCCCACCTTTATTGGTCTTTTTAAGTGTTGAGCAATTTCATGCATCTTAGGTTTATAGAACACTGTAGTGTTTACTGGTACACAATTGTTCTCCCCTTTAACACATGTACCTGTTTTTCTCTCTGATTGATGCAGGTACCAATGCAAAGAGAAAAAGAAATTGTGAATCATCAGAAAGTGAAGGGGAAGAGACAGAAGTCAAGACACCAGACAACAAGAAAGCAACCACAACACCACAGACTTTTCCTAAAGCCAGTAAGAAGGTAAGACCTACTAGAGCTGGAACTTAGTCTGAAGCCTGAGTTGCCAGTGAGTTTTGGGGGTTTCCAAAACAACTTCTATGGGTGGGGGAAAACATTTATATATGTAAGAATCAGGATTCAATTCACAGCTTCCAGTACAGCTAGCTCAGTGTTTCTGCTGATAACATTTATCTGTGGTAAGAATGTGTAGTGAAGAATACAGGAGGACTCTGTAGTAACACTTCATGATCAGGGACTTGATATTTCTCTTCTGTGACCGCCAACACAACACTTTCAGCAATTATTATGCTTAAATTACGGCTCACTGAAGTAACTTAACTGCGTCTTATAGCGTACACTTTTTTTTTTTTTTCTCCTGACTGCGGCAGCGTGCTGGTACTTCTGTCACACACCGGGAGAGACTCATTTCCCGCAACAAAACCGGCTAGTTTGACACACACAACACGGGTTACACACAAGGCCACCTTCCGTAAAGGGGAGGCTCATCCCATAACACAGCGGAGTTAAGCTGCGGGTGTTCTAACCTAAGTTGTTAGAAAACGCATTAGGCTTAAGTGTTTGTTTACCCTGATACACTAGGGCTGTGCAATTAATCGAATCTTAATCGCAAGTTCGATTTTTGGCTTCCAACGACTCCCAACAAGTTAATCGTGATAAAATATGATCATTAAATACAAAATGAGCAAGATTTTATTAATGTGAAATGGACATCTACAACTTTACAATCAGTTTGAACCTATACACATTTTCGACTGCAAAAAATATTTAAAAAAATATAATATATTTGACTCTTTCCACTCCTGTGTTTTTTTGTTGTTTTTCTTTTTTGTTGTTTTTTTTAGGATAAATGTCATGGTCTGCATTGGCACACATTATTTCTAGTGCCATTGGATTAAAATGGAGGCTCTACTCTTTATTTACCCGCCATGGTGAATCGTAGAATCGGAGCTCCATTAATGATGGCTTTTTTTTTTCATCCCCACGCACACGCTTCCATCAGGTTCAACATACATGATTGTGATTAAATTATGACCAAAATAATTTTTTGATTTTTGCCATAGTCGAGCAGCCCTAATAGACAGAGAGGGGCAGTGATGGAGGAAGTACTGAAATCCTTTCTGTAAAAGACCACACTGTGAAAATACCCTTACTGGTAAAAGTCCTGCATTGGAAATGTTAGTTACTGCTAAGTATAGTCAGGAAAATACACTTGAAGTATTAGAAGTAAAAGTACTTGATGCTGGAAAATGCCAACCTCAAAATTATTAACTTAAAATTATGGGGGGCAGAAGCAGATTCTTCACATTTGTTAAGCTGGAACCATGAAATGTATTTATTTACGGACAAAATGGATACCCCCAATAACATTGTACTTTGGCAACACTACAAGAATGTCACACACAATCACCCAGAGCTGCGTTCATGCCATAATTTGCCACACCGCTTGTCTTAGCACATGCGGACTGGAGTGGATCCAGAAATTAGCACTAACTTTAAATAACTTGTGTCTTTCAGTCTTCCAACATACCGTTCCGTAGAATAAGAGAGGAAGAAGTAGAGTTGGATCCCCGCCTCACAGACAACTCTTTTGATGCAAAGGTGAGTTCAGTAACATCTGCGAGCATTCATACAGCAGCACTGCACGCTAAGATTGCTGAGGTGAGCCAATAATTTAATATTAAACATCATGTTCATTTCTCTTTGCTATTCCAGTTTGGAGCCAAAGGGGACTGGGGCCAGAAAGCTAACGACGTGCTTAAGTTCACGAAAGGCAAGTCATTCCGCCATGAAAAGACGAAGAAGAAGCGGGGAAGCTACCGTGGCGGAGCCATCTCCACAACAGTCAACTCTATTAAGTTTGACAGTGACTGAGGACATTGTCACTCTCTCCCACCTGAACTGTACTGTACCTGATCAGTTGTTTGCTTCCTCCGCCTGTAAACAGTCCCTCTATCATTACCATGCAGCAGCACACTGAAAGAGGAATGTGACCCGTAGAGCTGAGTTGGCACTTTCATTTAGTTAGCTGCCCTTAGTTTGAAATAGAGCCCATTCGTTTGATCTCTGATCTGTAGCTACAGCTAGTGGAGCTGTGGCAGCAGGAGAGAGAGACTTCAGACTCTTCTGCTAAAGGTTGATATCAATGTGACGTTATTACCACTTATAGCCACTAGGTGGCTGCAGGCCATCTGTTAATGGTAAAAAGCGAATGTGTGTTGGGCCCCTTATAATTTTGCTTGTTAGTCTGTACTTTATTCTCAAATAACATGTCTTGTCATTTCTTTGTAACATACATTTTTCATTTATCTACGTACGAATTACAGCCATTCATCCCGACAGGCTCTTTATTGTGTGTTAACAAAAGGCTGATATTGATTTTTAATGTATCACATGGATTTCTTGAAGTTTGTTTGGTGAGAGGGCGTGTTCTCGGGTTTTTTCTCTTTACATTTCATGAACATTTGGAGAGTAGAACTGAGTTTTATACTGTGTATTTATTAAGTTTTATTCCATTTCAACCTTACGGACCTATCAAGCCATCTCGAGATATTCTTAAGCCATTTTGCTTTGTTTCTCCTGGCGTTAGAATTCCCCTGACAAACCCCTTTGTTCATCAGTGGTGTGGAATTTATCCACAAACATAACTGAGAGCCATGTTTGTTTTGATTATTTGAATTTACTCTGAACTTTTGTGTACCTCGTTATTTTTTTATTGTCAATTCTTGTAACGATGATTAAAGACCTTACAGACTAAATGTTTGTGTGATTGGATTCATTATTTTGAGGCTCTATTTCTTTATTGACAGTAATTTGTCCTGTCAGGGGCAGTTTATCATTGAGCGGTGTTCACTCAGTTGGTTGTAGTTTTACATACTTGTCCATTTATTAATGTGTCTATGCTAGGACTGGGTAACAAAACAATAATTGTGATGTTTCTTGATAGAACAAATATTAAATATTTGATTTAATTAATTTGAGTCATGAACAAATGAGTACTTTTATATTAAGATATTGTTGAGGAAAAGGGACTGAAAAAAAAATTGATTATAAAAAGATTCTATCATAATTGTTTTGAATGTACTACCTCAGATTTGTTAAGTGATCCACTGTCTGGCAAGTGTTTGTCATGTTCTGACCATAAAGAAAAGTTTATAACCCACAATTAACAATCTGACTCAGAAGCAAAAATCAGCCTTTAAACTTGAAATAAATAATGATTTGACATTTATCGTGATAATTATCAATATCATCTGATATGTAATTTTTTATTATAACATTGCCCCCAGCAGTAATCTATGCTCATCAGCTCTGTTATCAATTATGTATCTGATGTTTTTGTTTGCTTTAATTAAAGGGCACAAGTCAAACATCTGTCTGTAGTAGTTAAGTTCTTCCTCTGGAGAGGGCGGTGCAGACCACTGATCCAAGCATTTTTTATTAAAGCCAGTGTCAGTCAAATAGCTCTTTGCTCCATGACTGACCTTCAGTTGTAAATGTGAAACTCAGTACAGTATGTGAGCTGAGGCCTTATTACCTGCCATGCACCGTTTTGAGGGTGGCTGTTATATATAGGCATTGCAGTCCCACTGAGATGGATGTGCTGCTTCACAATAAAGGACAAAGGAATGACTGGGCAGTTATGACGAGTACACTGATAATTCATGTTTAAAATGGGTGACGTGTTTATTCCAGACAAACTAGTACACTCCGTTACAAAATACAGAGGAATATGTTTCAATTTTCTTACTCAGTGAGGTCGTGTACACAATTATTTCTAGTCTTATTAACTATGAAAAGCTTTCTTGCCACTTTATCTTCACTAGAAGAAAAGAACGCTGGAACCCAAAGACTTCTCCAATGTTAACAAATATTTTAGGTTTTTGGACCAATCTTATCTTCAGTTTAAATTGCAGCAGTATATTAATTTGGTATAACTGCTCTTGCAAAGAGATAAGGCTTCACTTTGCAACCAACTTCTTTAAACAGCTTTGATACTGTCAATCACTGGTATTACTGTATCTGATCTGGATTGGTTCAACTTTTACCTTCTATAAAATGTTCTGTATAACCATAAATATCATTACATATCATAAATATTCATTATCAACTCCTTTAAATATCGTATTTGGGGTTCCACACCTCAATTCTTGGTCTAATCATATTTATTGGCAACTAAACACATTTCTTTTTTTGATTAATGCTCAGAAAGGAGACAAATACCGGATGTATTAGGTCAGGTACAGGAAAGAGTAAAAAATGAAACTATTCTTGAATTGCACGCCCATCACACCTCCAACCTAACGATGGCTCATGATTAAACATATTCCCATCTATACGTATGTATATAGTACACGTGTACATGATGCCAAGTTACATGAGAGAGTGAATGTACTGAATTCAACATTTAATGTTTCTAAAGTTTGTAGCCATAAATTTGTCGTTTATATTATTGTCTTCCAATTAACTGCTATAACTCTTTTTGCACTGACACCATTTTTTTCTTAAAATCTGGCCAATTTTTGCCATCCATACAATTCAAAATGCAATCTGTAAACACATTTCAATTCACAGTTAAGTCGATGACACTCCCAACATGCTTCCCACCAGAACCTGCCAGTCTAAACAGCTTTTCCTTGTTTATATTGGATCCTGGATTTGTCAGAATATTTTTACAGTACAGCAGAGGTAACCCTGAAACGATTTTTAGCAGCTCCTGTCTCTCATGGCTCTTTCAAAGCAAAGATATGTAGTTTTCTTTCCATGTTGTCAACAAAACCTGCTGGTTCTTGACAGTGACAGCAGCTGGTGGATTGTACCAGAAACTGAATGACTCCCCCCCCCCTTAGGTTCCTCTATCTCCTTTTCCACGGGCCTTGGTAGAAAGCTTCTTGCTTTCATTGTGTAATTAAATCTGCAGAGACAAGATAACTCACCTTTTAGCAACTTTAAACCACTTGCCAGTTAGTTTCAGACTTATTTGAAAATGTTCCTTTTGACTTCTTACAGAGAAGTGGGCAAAGTGGTCTTTAGGCTGAACACTTCAGATTTACCATAAAGCAGACTGGGCTAACTCTGTTCTTTCATTGGTGCAATAATAATAACTTTATTATTTTTGCATTAACTTATAATACATGACAGATGGCACATAACACATGGCTTAATGAGTCACACACTCACCACATTCAGTGTGAAGAAAAAGCTTAATTTCCATGCACACATGACCAACAGCACATGCACTGTCCATACAGTTAATGCATCTACCCACCGAGGAAATGTGTACATTTCTGTGCCTACACATAAAGAGCTGTTGACTTAGGAGGGAGGTCTGCAATCACTCCAAATATAACCCCCTTCCCAAAGTCTGACAACAGTTAACCATTGAGCGTTGCTTCACTGCTCACCACGCAGGGAAATCTGACAGAGCGTGCTTGCTCGGGGTTTACATGGCTGAGCTGTTGAGAAGGGGGGGCTGCAGTACAGCTACTGCAGAGCTGTTACTGGGCAATTTTTCAGTGCAGACGGAACTATTGCTGAGAGACTCAATGCAGTTAGAGGCAATGTTGCTGGCAGCATGTTGGAAACTCTGAAGCCAATGCGAGCTACAGGAGCCTTTAGGACTTGAAAGCAAAAGGAAAACCAGTGTTGCTGCTATTAGCTATTAGTATTCAATTAGTCAACTGAGAGAAAATCAATCAACATTTTCACAATCCATTAATTGTTAGTCATTTATCAGGCAAAAAATCCACACATTTACTGGGTTCAGCTTCTTAAATGTGATTTGCTGGATGGTTGGTTGGATTTAACAAGCAATAGGATTGCATTTCCACAGTATTTCTGACACTGTACAGACTAAATGATGAATCAATGAATTAAAAAAAAAAAAAAAAAAAAAAAAAGGTAATCAACATACTAACTCAACCATGAAAATGACTAGTTGCAGCCCTAGTTATTGTGAAGACAAACCATGTATCCAATTTTAGTGATTTTGAAGTTTTAAAAATTCTGTTCCATTGCGGTTTGAGAAAATCCTCCTGAATCTTAAACTAAATGGATTTAAAACCCCGTTGGATTAGCGTATTTTCACAAAGCTGGAAAGAAGGCTGTAGTCAATGTTTTGGTGATAGTTTCCACAGGACTGCACCTTTATATTTACAGGTGAGTGTTGTAACAGTTGATGCAACAGCGAGGATTAAAAGTTCAGTTAAAAATCATTTTAAGTTCCATGTGATTGTAATGACTGACTTAAGCTGTGGAAATAACAGGAGTGAGGAATACTGAAGAGAGGCCCTTCCACCTCATCTCCTGCCAAGCAATCACTCCTGAGTACCACTACAGTCTGTCAGTCAGTCGCAACAAGAGCAAGCCAGCTCGTTTCAGGCCAATGCAACACAGTGTGTGTACGAAGGGGCGGCAGTACAATCTTTTAATGGGCAGCAGAGGCAGAAGACTGCCCATCCTGTCCATTTCAATTAGACAAAACTGCTGACTGCTCCTGCACACACACATAGCCATCTCTTTCTTCCTCTGGCACACACTCAAATGCATACTATCAGCTGTGCATTTTCGTCTGAAAATGTTACACCCCGTTTCATTACACACACACACACACACACAAAATGAGTTCAATGGATTCCCATGGATTAGTCTCGCTAATCCCCCACTGTGCTTTTCTCTGAGTCAAAAGGTGAAAATGAGAACATGGCAGGAAAACAATCCAACTTACAAGTCGAGCAGAACAGTCATTCGTAAATAAAAGCTTAATCAGTTTTACATTATTAAAAACATCTTTAATAGTGCATTTCTTCTAACATATATCTTATATAAAGTGTTGCAGTGAGCAATAATAATTAGAAGAATACACACTTTGAAAAACACATTGCAGAGCAAGGCAAGCATCATTGATCTTTTATGGGTACAAAATGATAGGAGCAAAGACGCAGCTGGAGCTAGCAGACTGAACGAGGAGGCGCTAACAAGATTACAGACTTCTGCTCTCTGTCCCGCCAAAGAAATAACTAAGGGTCTGTTGTCAGTACAGGACAGACATACTGCGGCATTTATACAGCTGAAGGTCAAATAAGATGGATTCCACTTGTCTCGCCTTTTAGCAGCAGAATGTGTTAAATACAGACACAAAAGTTCTGTCTTTAGCGTTCAATAAATAATCTGCTGACACTGCAATCCTCTGTATAATATAGCAAAAATAAACATACAAACTTTGTATATTTTAAAATATACAAACACCTATGATGACTTAAGACAGACAAGACTGGAGTAACATTTCAGGACAGACTGCGCTGTGTCAGCATGCTTCGGCCACAATGTTACAGCAACATGCGTTAATGATTGATCAGAGCTGCGGTGCCAGTGATTTCACTGCATTAATTGTCTATTTAAATTTTTCTTGAGACCTGTTGAAGGAGAAGGCCTTTGATGCTACCGGTGTTGTTGCTTCATTCACTCGCTTTCTTTCTCTCCCGCTCTCACGTTGCCTCCTGTCTATATTATGTCTTCGGTGTGGCAAAATCCCAGGCGGTATCCTGGGCGCACTTCCACATGGCACGCACCAGCCGAGTGAAGCCCATGTCCTTAGGTTTCTCCAATCCACGCATCAGCCGCTGCTTCATAATGGCTATGAACTCCTTATTACTAAGCTCTCCGTTCCCTGAGGAAGACAGACAAGGGGAGAGAAGGTGGGAGAGAGGGGCAGAGGCAGGGGAGAGATGATGAAATAAGGGGTAAGTAAGAGGAGGACGGTGAATTCATCCATTTATTGATGGTTTCCACCTGTAAGCAGAGGAATTATTTGCTCTCCATAATTATTTGCAGAGAAGAGCTACAATGAACCAGCCAGGTACTTACCATCACAGTCGAACAGAGCGAACACCACATCACACACGTGGTCTGACAGCTCCACTTTGGCCACGGTTCGGGCCACCTGCTTCATGGTCACTGAGACACAGAGGGAGGGAAGCACAGATAGAGCGATTCACCATTTGTGGAAGAGAGTAATAGAAGTCACACAAGCCAGTTCATAAATGGCCCATGTGGAAGACATTTTGCACAATCAAACTGCTTGCGATCGATGGCAGGCAGGGCTCCCTTTCACCGGGGAGACTATCTGACAGACACGACAATGAAAAAAGAAAGGGGCTGAGAGGAGTGAGAGGAGCAAGAGGAGCAGACAGCATCAGCTGAGAATGAGGCTGAGAGGAATGAGACAAAGACGGGAGGGGATGGAGGTGTACAGAGTAAGAAATGGAAATGGAGACAGGGACTGGGAAGAAAAAAAAAATTGCCTCAGGGGCATTTCAGAAAAGTAAATAGATGATAAAATGATGAAAACCGCCATTGTCTCAACCGGAATGATTGATTATCAGACTTCAAAGGGCACACAAGTGGAAGCAAAGCTAAAGAAAAACAGAGGAGGATGAGAAAGGGGAGAGGGCTTGGATGAAAAGAATAACGTCTGACAAACACTCCCTGCAAATGGGAAGACAAAAAAAACTGCTGAATCACTTCACCAAGAATCTCATGAGTGGCCTTCTATTTTACCTTTAAGAAAGGCTACGTGCAGCTCCAGATAACACACCCACATATGAGAAACTGTACTAAGAAAGTGTGAAATCATTGGATTTGAGAGTGAGATGGAAAAGATGAAAGATAGGACAAAGAGAAACAGACTCCTTTAGGCTCGAAGAGCAGGGAGACGGTTTCACTGTGCAGACGACGGGAGGACGGAGATCATTTGGAGCAGCATGCCTGGCAGCTCGCCACGTACCCTCAGCAGCCTGAGGTTATCAATACCACCCTCCCACAACACACTCACAAACATACCAACACAGACAGACACACACGGCTTGTTACTGTAGAGACATGCGGCTGAAACCATAAGGTGGAAACGAGCACCTCAGGGTCGGCGCTGCATACCCCTTAAAGCAGCAGCTATTTCATCAGTCAATCAGAGCTAACGGACGTGCTGACAGACAATACATGGAGGCCTACTGAAGTGCTGTATCACTGCAATAAATGAAGAAAACATTGACTCATCACAACAATTGCCTTATTATAAAAGCTACAGGTCCTCGGTGCCTGTGCTGCTCTAAAACTAAATTGACTTTCATTGTTAGGGTCTGGCAGACGAATGGATCCAGTAAAAATGAATGTGTTGAGGAGGATAACGGAAATAAGACTAATTTAATGACTGATTTGACACTTAGTAATTGGTCTTGTTGAATCAACATTGTAGACACATTCTACAGGAGCGAGAATGCAGAGTCATCGACAGTCTACTCTGTCTGGTAATTAAACAGATAATCCTTAAGATATTCATGTAATTAAACCCCATTTATGACCCAATTTATGGTCGGCATCTTCTCTGCAACAGCCATTCAATTCATTTCCACAGTAATTAGTCTTTATATGGTAGGTTTCATTTATAGTGGCGGAATCTGTCATTTCCACAGCAGATTCAAATTCCAAAAAAGAGGATTTCACAGGAATCGATGCACGCATGTAATCCAGTATAATTGTAGTTAATTGATAACAGCCTGACTGTTTGCTGTGGTGCTGTATTCAGTTACTTCTAGTGCAAACGGAGCATCCTACTGCAGTTGCTTCACATTAAAGCGAACAATGGGTGGCTTTTATTGTGAAGAAAATCTTAAGGATTACCATTTTAACATCTTGCTTTAGGGTACTTTGGAAGTGTTAAACTTTTCCTCCAGCCACCAGCTTAGAGGTGAAATACACCATTCCTGGAGCTTAGGACGTAAAGAGCAACCATGTAATGACTGAGGTCAGCTCAGTTCCGACTGTCCTCTCCATCACTGCACTGTCAAGTAGGAAGTGAGCTTTCGTGTGTGAGTGCGTGTTGGATTTAAGCATGCGCTCTCCCGCAGGCTTGGAAGAAGAGGCGGTAGATGAATGGATGGACAAACAGATGACAAATTGCAGAGCAAGGTTTGGGAGCAAAGCCAGGCAAAAAGAGATGCGAGATGCCGATCTGGCTGGCTAACTGTTAACAGCTCTTAGAGACAAGAGGATGAAAGTGACAACAGTGGGAGTAATTAGAAGGAAAGAGAGAATGTCAGAGGAAAAAGGGCAAATGTGGGTGTACCTTTATCTATGGAGGCTCCAGCCATGTGGTAGAAACTCAGGGCTGTGTCAACGTCATTCACGTTCTTCAGGAAAGTAAAGAAATTCTCCACCTCCTCAAATGTGATGCCCTGCACAAGATGGGAAAATATATATATTAGAATAAAAAGGGGCTGGGCATTTTCATGACAATAGCTGCGACTGCACAATGAGATTTTTGGGAGCAGCTCAGCAGTGTGACACAAATGACGGTGGGAATTGGGCAGAAGCAGGCGACACACATGGATAAACAGTGTACCACGGGTGAACAGACGGTCTAAGACACACGTGCACACATATAAACAGACGCGCAGTCATACAGCTGCCACACACTGCTGATGAGCTCATTTGCAAAGAAAAGTGAGCAGCTGGTCTTAGGCAGTAAATAACACTTCTCTCATTACATTGCAGGTTATTCCAATGCTGAGAGACAGACAGTGGGATGGAAAAAGAAGGTAACCAGTGAAAGAGAGAGACACAATCCTGGCAGCACCTAGCCTCATCTTTTTCCTCATGACTGGGAGGAACAGCAGCTACCCTGCTTTGGTGTTTTAATGTATCCGAACAAGATAATATGTGATGCTTACTATCTTTATGTGTGTGTGTGTGTGGGTGGGGGGGGGGGTATTTCGCTGCGACACCTCTGGGGATAGGATGTGCATGGGCGTATCTTGAGTCAGTTGACTGATGGGGCTCATTACAGTGAAGCAGAACCAGCTTGAAACCAAAGTTCATGCGAAGCACTGGAAATAGGAAAGGGATTGGCATATACCTAAGTTGGCAGCAAGCCTCTACATCTTGAATATTTTTACAGTACAGACAGTTTAGTCTGTCCCAGTTGAGCCATTTTACTTGCTTTAGAGTAATGCGCTGGTGTTGGGTGAAAGAATCTCTAGGCGAAAAAGGGAAGATTTTTCTAACAAACGCTCGCATGGTACTCCTCAGCCTGAAGTAAACGAACCTGAATAAGGAGCAGTTGATTGATTGGAAGAGCAAATGAGGACGAGAACAAAGCCCGGAACAATCAGTGTGACGCTGCGGACATACTGACTGAGAAAGGGCTTATTAAGAAGCTCAAAGAGAAATGCAGGACTAATCGTGTCCTTTGTGCTGACACAGGCTGCTCTGTGTACAAGCAGAGACAGTGGAAGGTAGAGGAGTTCTGGAAAGTAAGTGGCGGTCAGGTGGATGATGTCAGGCTTTGCTGTCCTCTCCCAGCGGTGTGTTATCTCTCGTCCTGTCTCTCTCACACACTCACAATGTCCCAGTACAATCTCCTTTTCCCTCCGGGCGTATGCCATCTGTCCTCGCATGTAGGCCAATTAGTTAAAACACTCACACCACCAAATCTAGCACCAGAAAAATGTGAAGAACTTTTCTAACAAAATTGTGGAGATTAGGCAGCATTTTAACAATAACCTCACACACTTCATTTACATTAATCTCTTTGTCAACTCTTTGAAACTCAGTGGCCTCTTTTAAATCTCTTCTCAAATCTCACTATTATCGTATGCTGTTTTTATACATTATTGCTGTTATTGTATTTTTTAATGCTGATTTTATTGTTATTATTATTATCATTATTATTATTATTATAAATAACCACGGAGTACCAATCATTTATCTCAGAGTTCTATGAAAGTGTGAATAAGAGTACGCAGATTTATCTACCTGTGCATCCTTAAACATCTTCTTCAAGCCCTTCTGCATCTGCTTGAGTTTACGAGACTGGACGCCACTATAGGCCAGCAGCATTCCCCCAAACTGTCTCTCCGTGATTCTGCCGTTCACAGGATCGTTCCTCTCGAACTGTGGGGGGGGGGGAGAAACACAGGAAGATTTAGTGCTATACAGGGGGACAAACAAATTAATAGGAGGAGGAGGGCATGGCGAGATGAGAAACAGTAAATACTGGTGTCAGACTTCAAGCTGAATCATGCACCTGTGACATTAAATCTGCATGTGCATTTTTTTTTTTTTTTTTACAATTTTCCACAAAAACATGACTTAACAGCAGCGGGCCTTGGCTGTCAGGTCTATCCAGTTGATTTATGTCTGAGGCTGTCGACAATCACTCCCTCATTTCTCTCTGAACGTGCTCACCTCTCAAAATGTTAAGTTGTTGCACTTGTGAGAGGGAGATCATGACTAAGCCAAAATAAGCGTGGTGGGAAGATGTCAAGCGTGACCCGACCATTCGTGCACCTGTGGAGGACGTCAAGTCACAACATTGACATTCTAACAGTTGCTCATTTACACATCAAGGAGCTTACGTAACAAGATTATCATTCATTTGGAGTAGTGTTTCTGGCCACCTGAATGTAAGTCTAATAGTTACTCTCTTTTAGCTCTGTTTTGGTCTCCACCAACTCCCTCAGGAAATATCAGGTCCAAAGTTGCTAACTTTGTCTGTCTCCTGTTTGGTGCTGAGCAGGTAATGTGTACAGTGAGTTTTTTTAAAGCGTTTTCTCTGAAAACAGATGCCTACTGCAGCCAAGAGTGACACATGCGTGGCGAGGACTGACAACTAAACAATGATCTGAAACTCTCTATAAAGCTCCGTAAAGTCGAGGGGAGCTGCAGATTCAGGTGATAATTCTCTGTAGGTTCATCACTATGAGCAACCCCTTTGTCACAGTTTACACATTGTCTCTATAAAAATACTGATTATAGCCTCTTTAAGAACAGTAGGTCTGGTTATTCTGACATTTATTATGCATGTACATACATATAGGCTTAATAAAAACAGTCAAATGTGCATCCCAGTGTTTTGAAAATTTTAAAATTATGCTTAAAGCTTAAATTATGCAAACTATATTGTATTTCCAGCTTTACTGGGGAATTCATCAAAAAAGGGTAGGTATTAAAAGAGTTACAAACATAAGTGAGAGAATGAGTTCAACATGCTGCAAAAAACCCCAGCTCCAGCTGGTGAAATAGGACCTATGGTGAACTGCAGCCTCAGCAAAAAAAGAAAGATAGGAGCGTAAGACTCGTAAGAATTGGATCACCCATGTTAGTGTCAACCTTACCTGTGGTGTTATGACTGCCCTCTCTGAGCATTGTGGTATCATTAAGACCTGACAAATTTTCTTAATGCTAGATTCTCTGACTCGAGTCCTATTCTTGGAGCTTAAGATGACTGTAGGGATGGAATGGTTACTGGTTTAATGACAAACCACAGTGAAGTTCCCAACGGTTAGTGTTATCATTTTAAATTCTAAGCATTATTAAAACCGTGTGCAATTACCGCCCTCTGAAAAACTCACTGTAAAGGCTGTCCAGCATCAACCATAGTTAGCACCAGTCTCCCAGACGCAGGCGTAGGTTTGTTCTGGGTCAATAAAAACATGGCATCGACAGCGCTCTAGAGAATTTTCCGCTGGTCTGGTTGTATTTAGTTTTTTTTTTTTTTTTTTTTTACAAGAGTACTTAAGGGAACCTTGACTGAAGAAAATCGCTTCATAGCAAATGCAGGGTAAGTTAACCTTTAGCTCAATGCAAGATGTGGGGACTTTGTAATGAGGGAAAATGTCGTGGTTTGTCTGTCCAACTTGCTAATAGCTTGTAAACTGAAGCTCTCAGTGTTACCTACTCTTGTAAACACTACATATTGTTCTGCTGCTGTATGCATCGTGTGTCTGCAGACTCTATTCACCCATTGCACACAACGACACATTACGTAGTTGAGCCACCCAACCAACATATTTTGTTCATTTAGATTTCAGCAGTCGCCAGAGTGGTTGCAAGAATTCAAACAGGAGAAACGCTCCTATTCTAGGCATGCACCGAAATGAAAATTCTTGGCCGAAGCCGAAGATGATGAAAAAATTTGCAGAAAACCGAACAAGTATTTTTTTTTTTTTACCATTGCATAAATTAAATAGTCAAAATGTGTTTTTTAGGCGTTTCCCACAGGATTTGGAGAGACTATGGTGGTTGGGTCCGAGGCCCAAGAGGGTCCAGTAAAGTAAAGTTTTCTTTAATGGACATGTACTATGTTTTATACTTTCTGTGAATATAATCCAATTAATCTTATTTCCATCCTGTATAGACCTTATTTTGAAAACCGGTCGTTGACACATGTGTATCCTCGCACTATATTCATCAAATCTGACCCAGTTTGATAAATAATGTTCTATGTGGTTTTCGTATCGCGTATAATGAAGACTTCATAGTCTCTCTTTACGTAGGACTCTCATACTGCAACTGTCTTTGTAAAGAGAGAAAATGACAGGATAAAGTCGCTAACCTGCCTGTCAGCTCGCTCTGGTCCATTTCAGTGGATTTACCATAAAGGCTTTAATACGTGTGTACCCCGAACTTATGTGTGGCTAGATTAATCGCCTTCTCAAGTGATAGAAACACTCAAAGTGGGTCAGACCTTGGTTGCCTTTTCTTTGTGAGAAGTCAGCCTCGGATGGAGTGGATGTGCTAGGAACAATTCAGCAGAACAGTATCTGCAAAACAGTGATTTTTGCATCTTTCTCTGACACTTTAATATGCTTCCACACTGCCGACATGTCAACGTAATTGTTTGGTAAAATTTATTCAGTCTTTTGATGTATTAGGCCGAACACCGACAGTGCTTTCTTTGCTATTTTCTGCCGGTTAATTTCGGTGGCCAAACATTCGGTGCATCCCTATCCTGTGTCGGTGAGGGGAGACATAAGTTGACACTGTCCAGTGCTGACAGACAATCCACTCAGTACATCTGTCATTCTATTGTGTTGTGACCGTTGTTTTGTGCATGACGCTCACCTGTCGTTGCTTCTCCCCTGACTCTTCAACATCTTTTAGTTTATTTGTTTGTTTGGACTAAATGTAAGAGACAGTAATATTTACTTCCTCTGAGTTAAGAACCTGTCCATTTTCATGCCTAGTCCCTGAATATGGTGCAGAGGAGACTAAGATTTAAGATTACAGCAAAGCCGTAACATTTAAATGAATTCATTATGACTGCCTACAATAGTGCAGTAAACCAGTGGATGATTATTCTCAGTAGAATATTCTCCTTCTCCACTTATTCACTTTCCTCTTTCATTACCTCTAGTTTGAGCACATCATGCTGCAGTTTCCTCTGAAACTCCAGAAAGCTGCCTATGGTGAGTTTGCCCTTCAGGTCTTCACCAAAGAAGTAGGTTGTGAGAGCAGAGCTGCAGCCGGCTGTCTTCAGGGTGTTTCCTGTGGTGGAGCGGTCGCGATGGCGCATGCCCATGCTGGTTTGGGAACGAATGATGCTCTGGACCTAAGGATGTAGGGAGTCCCATGTAAAAACATTTTTTTAATTATTTAATTCGACAACTGCCCACAATAAAAAGCCTATGAGGTTTGTGTACGTTTAGCTTGATTTAAAATACGGAGCACTTTACTGGTTTGCTTCATATTACATAGCAGCACAAAAGACTTACATAATGAGGCGTTACATTAACATCTGTCAAAAAGCCTATCAGATCCAGTGGTTGAAATACTGATCACACATGCACAGCATAGCACTTATCTTTTCCCACTGAGATAATGTCACACTGGTGCACATCAATGCAGGGACCAACCTTTATTGCCTGTCAGTGTGTGTTACTGGTTACTGTAATGCAATCAGGAGCTACTGTAGATATTAAAGAGAGTCCAGTCGTGTGGGCTGGCTGTTTCAACCGTGTTTGTGTGTGCTCACTGTATGCAAAACGTGTTGCTGATCACAGTCTCACCTGGTCAAACTCCTCCAGATCCACCTCTCCATCACCATTCAGATCAAACATCTTGAAAGCGATCTCGAAGTTCCTCTGGGGAGCTGGACATCACAGGTAACAAAACACATTCAGAAATCAATACTACAACAACAACAAAAAAAAACAACAACACATCACACAGGATCGACCCAAACAGCTTAAGAGTTCAATACTGTCTCGGTCATTACACATCAACTGTGCAACATCTTCAGCTTTCACCTCACCCCCAGTGGTGCAACGTGGGGCTCTGTAGATACTCTTTTTTTGAGCCAATAGCCATTAGACGACAGTGATTGCTTCAGTATCAGCCCTGGCTCTCTGCTAACAGTGGAGTTGCTGTTTATATGGCTTAATCTGGAATACTAAATTTGAATTAATGACCGTTGAATTCGAATCACTGTTTTCCACCCAATCTCTACACTTTTTGCAAATGTCATTTTTCTGTAACTCTGCTATTAACACCCACTTTATTTTAATGACCACACGATCCGAGTCACTGAAATTTGTTTTCAGAACATTTCATAGTGTTAGCAACCACAGCCTGAGAACGGCGGAACAAACAAAAATGGGAAATAGATGGACCAACGGTGCCTCCATCCAGTGTGTTATACAGCGCCTAGCTCCTTTAATAACCATGAACATATTGACGTTTTTCTTCCTCAGAATACAATATGCATGATTTATTTATAATTAGATGCATAAGGCCTGAAACAATAATAAAACTATAATATTTACACACTACATTACATGCCCTCTTTTTGTTAAATGCTTTTCAATGCTTCATTTTTTACTAATACTACTATAACCATTTACTGCTTAACAAACCAACTCTTTTAAAGGGAAATATTTAAGATTAATCTTGTTTTATCTGACAAAGGATTGAAACTAAAATAGCAGTAAATATACACCACAATGAAACCTGAACCAATGCGTGCAACAGTTAGGCAAAATATGTCCTCCAATGTACTATTTTTTGTGTCCGTGTTAAATGGATTGAAACCAACCATAAGGCATCCTGCACTGTCTGATTAAAAATGACTTGCCCTTGAAAACTTCCCCGGAGACTTTCTCCGTATGATCGGATTATAATAAATGGCTGAGCTAAGCTGGGGATAAAAGTTTACTAGAGGAAGGAGTCAGAGCTTCATTTTTGTTACCATGATCTTTGACACATTCTAGAAGGAGGCATTCATGTGAAATTGACTCCCTGCATCCACCACCAACGATCCACTTAAAACAAACTGATTCTGTGACACGCAGCATCTCCAAGGCAGCTAGCTTGGTAGACACACATTATTAACTTTGACAGAACTAGAGATCATACTGAACAGGCAGCCAGCTTTGTAACCTGGCTAATAATATCAACTTGGAATATTTTTCTCCTTTTCAATATCTGTCTTAACTGATGCAGAAAGAAAGCAGAGAGCGCAGAAGACAGACGAGATCATCTCAGGATTTGATCTAAGATCAGTGTGTAAGATTTTAGGACTGTGGGATTGAATGGGATGTCTGTACAGTTCAACGATGTACTTACTGGACAGCACAGTGGTGAGGAAGATGTAGTCAGAAAAAGAGATAAGGCCACATTCCCCCAGTGTGTAAAAAATGCTGTCCTCATCTGCAAACTTCTCCCTCTCCTGGGCGATCTTCTGCTCATCAAGGCCAGGACAAAAACAGGAAGAAGTTATGTTAAAAATATTTTACATGATTCAGCAGAAGCCTTACAGATTTTCCAGTTGTCCCAGGTGTGGCTTTGCGCGTGTGTGTGTGCGTGTGTCTGAGAGTGAAGCCCAATCGAGAGACTGGCTATGCTCAAACACAGAAACGTACACATATACTGTACTTCCACAAACACACACACACACACACACACACACACACTTAAAATTGCCCTTGTGCATAAGGATGACGATGGATAGACGGTTTATCACAACAGTCATGCAAATGCTGCATACACATGAAGCAGTACAGGCAGGTGAAGGTGGTAGTGAAGAACAATTAGTGTGGTCAGTTAAAGTTCAAAGCACATTATCCACCAGCAGCTGTACTCACAGTGTGAAACTGACATAAAAGAGGGAAAACATTACGAGAGACTGTACCACGAACACACACTATTGATTAACCATATCTGTAACACAACCCAAATGTTTTAATCGTTAAAAACAAAGTGACTTTAGCCCTCTCTCACACTCACACACACACTCACACACAGTTAACTGACGTTCTTCTGCCAGCATGTGTATATTCACAGCACTGCACAACAGTGAGACTTAACCACATGCACACTACACACTCAGTGATAGAGGCTTGAAAGACAGTGCCCAACTAGGAGGACGCTCCACCAAACAGAGTGGACAGACGGACGGAGCATGCCTTAGGGGGGGGGGGAGGGCCACGCTGAGCCCACGTGGAGTTACCTCCGTCTGTAAGAGGTCCAATTCAGAGGAGGAAGGAGGAGAAACAACTGTTAGAGAACTGTGTGGCCTCTGCTGTCTTTAGCAGGGGCCTTGAACGACAAAGACACGCATGTGCAGTCATGGACACAGAAAACAGCTTGCTCAAAACAAGATAATTGGGGGATACCACTCAAATGAAGAATTCAAATATGTCTTACGGTATCTATAAACTGTAATTAATATTTGTAAGCACTGAACATCAATGCCTGAACAAAACTAGAAAGAATAAAACAAAGACTGATTTCCTCAAAATACAAAATGATGCAGCTCTACTTCCAAGGCGGTTCTAACAATCATTTTATACCCACTCTCTGTCTACTTTTCCATCTTTCCTAAGTACTGTCACCGGAGCTGTATGCTGGGTGAAGATAGATTGAAATTAATTGGGAAAAACATATCTGAATACTAACATTTTGGGGCATCCCCATTAATAGCATATCATAACATACTTTAAATTCTTTCCCCATGAACCGACTCCCTCCTCACTTGAAACAGACTGTACTAAAACCAATTATTATAAGCTTATAAAATATTTCACTATCCTCAATTTGTGTCTATTGACTATTGACTCTTTCACATTGGTGACAAAAATATAGAAAATAGTGGTTTCTACTGTAACATTTATTATTCATGGTATCGACATTTACAGTATAAGGGGAGAAGGGAGTCGGAGGGGGGTGTGGGAGAAAAAAAAGTTATTTTTGGAGCAGTGCAACTAGGTTGAGAGAAACAGCCAGCCAGACGTAACAAAATGAGAGCACCAAGAGTTATATTGAACTCTTGGTGCTATAAGAGTGGAAGACTTTTAGGTGTTTGTATATAGAAAGAGTAAAAAGGGAAAGTGAGAGTGGGTTAGAGTAAAAGAGGTTGGTTTTGGCCGCTGAGTTTGGAACAATGACACACAGAGAAAGCCCTCAGGGCCTGAGGTGAGCCAGATTTCTAATGATTGTGTGTTTCAATGGGCAAGCATGCACTCACGGCCTCAGACAACTACACAACTACGCACATGAGAGACATAAACACACTGGGCCTCATTATAATGATCAGAACAGAGGCTCAGAGCACATTAGGCATAATAACTCACTTTTTCCAGCATCCTCAGTCAAGGACAAAAACACCCGCAGAGCAGCCAAAATGACATTCAAGAAAAGATGTCCAACTATAATGGCCACAGAGTGGAAACAAATAGCATATTCAGCTGTTAAAAGAAGAGATCTGAGTGTGCGCATGGGCATACTAACAAAATAAAACACACAAACACAGTGCTTTTAGTCCACACTGACGCAACTTGTGTCCCAGCTGGAAGAGAACATAATTCTCATAGTATCCACAGACTTCACTGCTGAGCTGACAATATAGCTTTCACTGTCTTGCTCTCTCTCATATAAACACCGTGCTATCATACCGTACATCTCGCCAACAAATGTATGAAGTAACACTGTGCACTCTCGCAAGCAGGCACAGAGGTATGGCATTTTGTATGTCAAGCTGCGGATTTTATCTTGCCTTTTAAGCCTCTTCCATGGAGCTTGTGGCTCTGCTGTAAGATCATGTCCCATCTTTCCCTTCATCCTCCATCTTTCTGACACTAGTGAAAGTCTCAGCTTCCCACTGAAGTTGTGCATTACTGGGTGCTCCAGCAACAGGCCATTCAAGAGTACAAAAATGCAGATAGAATTCAGATCGATAGTAAAGTAAGTAAGTACAGTATAGTAAAAGTTTTATCTACAAGAGATACCCATTAGATTAGATCACTTGATTCCCCAGACAGAATTTGTCTCTGTGTCCCGTCAGTTGAGTCTTTCATCAATTTTGATTCATCAACCAAGAGGAGATTATGCCTAGAAAACATGCTGCTGCAATCACCCAAAGGATCCCAACTACACTGGAGTCAGTATTTAACACTCATCCTAGATTTTTCCCAAAGCACTGATCTTCAAATGACTGTAAACCAAATTGCTGCAGCACTCAAGTTAATTAACAGCTAACGCCTCGTCAGTCAGTGTGTGTGTCTGTTGATCAGTGTCAACTCTGTAGCTGTCTGTGTGTATGTGAGTGCGATTTCTTTGTAAATTTCTGCCTTGAGCCTGCTCATGTGTTCATACATGCCTGTATGTGTCAGCCACGCTACGGCCAAGTTCACAGGCAGTGTCCAGATGACGGACCGAATGACCCAACTAGCCTGTGAGCTGAGGCAGAAACACAGTGCTGACAGAGCTGCTGGCTGGACGGCGCCTGCAGCGGGGCAGTCAAATGTACTGCTGTCATATACACACACAGACAGGGGTTAAGGGTTTGGTCAGGGCTAATCTCTCCAGTGCACCAGGCTATGGAGCAGCCCGATAGCTGCCCTGGCTGAAATTTCAACTGGCCCAAGCTTAAAGAGTCCAACAAATGAGATGCACACAAGTCAAGCACAGCCAGAGGCATGCATGTGAACGGGCCGAATCTCTTTCTGATCATTTCACATGAGTGGCTAAGAAACACTTTCTAAGCACACCATACTTAGAAACTGACTGCGTAAGGTGTTCAGGATTCTCACATTTCATTGTTAAATCCAAAATTGAGGAATTATATGCTTCTATCAACGATCTCTGACTGTAGGAAACTCTCATCAATGCTTTAATAAATTAACTTCATTTGTTAGCTCGCTTTCACTTCCAAACAAATATAGAATATAAAAAAAACTTTAAATGATCAAATCAACCACATGGCACTGTTGCTCTGACAAATTCAATTATATCACAGCTGTGCTGATGACAAGGCATAGATTTCTGACATCCAGCATCATCATCCTGTCATAATAAAAGAAAACAGGCAGCTGTTGAAGTGACTGTGACTGACAGAGATACAATTCAACACACAATATTGCAAGCCTCTAACAAGGACATCTGGATACTAAAAAATATATATGTGACGTATTATATATTATGTGCTATCGGTCCATTTTCTGCTAGCTTCACTATTTACATTGCTCCACCAGCACTTGGCATAGGAGCTGATGGCAGTTTAGACTTGGCCCCCTCTAATACCACAGTACCGGCTGCAGTGCTACGTTACTGATTAGATCTGTGACCCTGTCCAACACTGCAGCTGCGGAGGAGAAAGAGAGAGTAAAAGAGGGAAGAGCATGATGAAACAACTAGATATAAAAGGCACATAGTTTGTGTTAAATCTTAAAAATATTTATTATCAAACTGAACGTGGACTCTGCTATAAGGGCAGTCTCCTCTGAGTGCCACAACAAAGAGATGAATTTAAGAGTCTAGATGAAAAGCTCAAGCTGCAAAGAGAGGGAATCTGCACCCACTCTCCTTGTGTATGCACTCTTCTATGTGGTGTGTGTGCACTCGAGTGATACCTGCTCCTGAGCACCCTCTCATCTTTTGTACAGGTGAGAGATGTGTAAAAAAAAAATAGAAAAAAGACGTGACAGCGCAGAATAAGTGACAGAGGGGGCGGGGCCCGACCTGCTTGTGGGTAAAGTCAACCTGGTACTGAGCCTGACATTTCTGAATGGCGGCTGAAAGCTCTCACAGTGTGTAAGTGCACTTGCTTTGTGCAGCAACTAGGGCACGGTCTCCATCCCAGACCCAAAGAAAACCTCACACACTACCTGATTCTATACTAGGTGCGCTGCCTTGAAGACCACAGAAAGCATATATGCACAACCAAAATCCACCAGAGTGCTCAAGAGTGAACATTTTCTCCTTGGGGCCAAAACACCACAGTCTGTATGTGTGTGGGCGTAGAGAACACTAATGCATTAACTTTTCATCTCTAGTCCCAGGGCTATCTGCAGAGCAGGTGTACTGTTAATAACTCATAATTATTCTGGGAGCTCAATCAGAATAATGGACCCTGATGTGGAACGCTCAATAAACAAATTTCGGTCGCTGGGGAATGGCAGCTGTCTCAGAAGAGGAGAGGGGGGACCGAATTAGCTGACCAGGTGTAAAGACAACTCAACCTCTCTACTGTAGATTAGGAGAGGAAAACAGATGGAGAAAGAGAGAAAAATGTGTGTGAGAGCTCTTACAGAGACCAACAGTGACAAGAGAGGGCAAAGAAAGCATGTAAGAATTGAAGACAAGAAAAGATAGAGAAATACGGCAATGACAGTCCAAACAGCGTCCCCTGGGAGCTTCCTGTGAAATCCGAAAAAGTGAACATGACAGTTGGTGAGACAAGAGGCTCGTTTCCATTGGAGCAGCCCCGTCCGCACTCCCTCTGAGTGACAGGTGTCCGCTCTTAGTTGTAGCAGCTCACACAGCAGATGCTGTGGCTTTACATACAGAGAGGGCCGCAGCATGTAGGAACAGTTAGAATACATTTCACATGTACAGACCAAGTCCTGCCTTCAGTGACTCTAAACCATGCTCTACAGAAATCATGCAGCACTGACATCCGGACAATCCAGAGGGCGGATTTGTGAAGGTTTTCAAGCACATCGATACAGCCTTGACGTTAGCTAACATAGCCATTTTCTGGGTCCAAAATTACCCTAAAATGCCACCATGCGCAGAGAGGGGGCGCCACCACCAGCTACTTTCTCTGTGAGACACAGGCAATAGAGCAGTGCATGCTGGGGAAAGGGCTAGAGTGCCAAAGCATGTGGAAAGCTAAAGCTGATATTTCTTAGAACAGATAAAAAGATGAGGAGAAAATGTGTGTTTATAAAGCAAGGCAGAGGGAGTGCAGGGGAACAGCAATGCTATGATTTGGCTCTAATACAAGACCCATATAAATGACTCATTTTATCAGCTCTTTGCATCTCAGCTTTGACATCAAAATACGACTATAAATGTATCTGAACTTTACACACTAGTCAGAGCCCCAAAGTAAATTATGTAGCAGTGTTATAGCGTTTAATAATCGTTGTAGAGGCAAAGTATAAAGTCTTCACTTTCAATAATTCAGTAGGGGGACACGGTACACAGCTGCCACCAACGAGCTATATAAAGGGCACCAGGGAGGTCTCCAATACATTGTGCAATAACAATACAGAGTTTGAGTTTGCATATCTGATACAAGTGCATGTACAATGGGTTGTGTGCCTACTTTAGTTAGTCATTATGCGGTGTACAGGTTGTAACCTGCCCTGTGCTGCCCTGGGCTTATCTTTACGTCAGGATGACTGACGGAGGCTTTCAGACCTGCTAAAAAGCCAAATCATTTAGTAGATAGCTTATAGGTCAAGGCTCATTTATCTATACATTCCAACATAAATGTGTATATCAGAACATCTGAATCACAAAACGTGTCAAACACTTCAGAGCATCGCTGGAAACTAGCAGCTAGTAAATGCTAAAATGGACAAATACACATTTATGTCAGTGACATAAGCGACATTAGTGTCCATGAATATGAAATTAACAGACAAGGCAGAGGGAAAGAACACCACGAGAACAAGCAGAGCAGTGTTTCCCCCACCAAATTAGTTATTTTCCATATTTGGACATCTCAGTATATTATTATGCTTATACCATGGCCACTCACCACAGGCAGTACTTGCTGTACTCGAATCATCGGCCCTCTTTAAAGGTTGCTTAAAAATGGTTTTCAATGAAACAGACCTAACCGCTGCTCAGCAACGTGAGTTTAATGTACTTTTGCACCTTAAACTGCTGACCAGCCAATCAGAAAAAAAATACTCACCTATAGCACGTATACCCAGTGAGAGGAAAGCTAGATGTGAATTGAACATTTTATTACCAGTCTACCGATTTCTTGTTAGAAAATATACACGTTAATGCACAGTTTGGCTGCTGTCCTATCCACGGTGCCCGTAAAACTGAGGCCACAACTCTGGTTTCACATTTCCTGAAGCTGAGATGTGGTAAATACAGAAAAACTACCTACTTAGCTGTTCCCCTGGACTAACAGCAGTGAATAGCTATGCCCTCCATATTACAACAAAGGAGTGCGAGAGTGAGTAATTGAAAGAACACAGAGAGACATAAGAGGAAGGAGGGGAAATATATGTAGGGCTATCTAAATGACAGGGAGAGAGTAGGTAGTCACTACAAAGTGCAGTTTTTCATTCAGGTGCACACATGCTGCTCGGCACACACCCCATACCTGCCAGAAGTCCTGCAGAGAGGGAGGGGCACAACGGGAAGGAGATGGGGATAGAGAGAGGGAGACAGAATACAAGAGGAGGAGGAGGAGGGACGGGGAGGTTGTGGGTGGAGAATGGGGATCAGTAGATGGAATGATTAGGGGGTGGAGACAGAGAAAAGGTGGGGATTTTGGGAGACGGGGCGTTGAGGATGATGGTTATTCACGAGGAAGGGAAGAGAGAGAAAATGGTGGGATTACTTGTTATGTGAATGAGAGAGGACGGCTGAGAAGAGCACGAGAGAATAATCAACAGTTAACAATGGCAACGTCAAGTCACATCAACCTAAGATTAGGGCAGCTGAAAGCATGTCCACATGATCGGGGTGGGAGAAGAAAACACGGAGATGGAGGGAATTAACAGCAGAGAGAGATGCAATGAAAACAAGTGAATGAGCAAACACAAGCAATCCCATTTAAAGTTAAAATAACTGTTTTCTTCTGGACAGGAAAACAAATATAAAACAAAAACTGTAGGTCAATATGAACAGCAGTTGTTAACCAACCATATAGGGCATGTAATGTTTACACATGGACTGAACCTGGAACAAAAGTGTCAGCAGGAGAGGGCGAGGAGGGGGGATGCAGTGAGAGGTTTATAACACGCACACTTTTAAACACTCTTCCACTTAACTGCGGCCAAACAGAATGTATGTGAAAAATCTCTCAGTTGGCCAGGCTATTTTTAAACAAAACCATGGGAAGTGAGACACAGAGGTCTTTTAAGCAAGCTCTCATGTAACACTCACACAATGCCATACACCTATCTGCCATCGCAGTTTACCACCCAACCCCCAGCTGAAACGCTCCCCTTGTACTTCACCACACCCTCCATAAACTTCATGATTTACACACTACAGATATTGCACCACTATACTTGCCGTGGCCATTTCATCTAGGGATAATTCAATGCAGATTTAAGTTGCGTATGAGCTAGATTTCATGGCTTCTTGGCAGGACATAGTAATGGTTTAATTCCTCCTCCAACTAGCTAGGGGTGCACATTAAGTCAATGAGGAGAAGGCACATGTCTCTGGGCAAAAGAGGGTCGGGCAGGGCCAAGGAGGGAGGGGCCGTCTCAAGTCGCTCTGGCCATGGCAGGAAAATCTCAGGGGACAATCAAAGCTAAATACAGGATCAGAAAACACCGTGTGTCCAGAGATTTGCCTGGCAAATAAAGTAAATACAAGTCCTAGAGATAGGGACGACATTTACATAAGCAGATAAGGTCGCCACAAAATTTCACATTTACTTTTGATTCATGTATAGCCCACACTCTTTGGTTCATTTCCAGGCCCTGGGAACTCTTTCACAGAAACAATGCTTAGTGAAACCACTACTAAATTTCAGAAGCCATTAAAAGAGGGAAGTTGTGACAGAGTTATGTCACTAGCCTCACTGATTTGGTGTGGTTTATCTGATTGCAACATGGAGATAGGGTACAGTCTTACTCATCATCGTACCAGCCTGGGGGCTGATGGATTTTGTAATGAGATTAGAAACTGTAATCATCACACTGATGATAAGCTAATACTAAATGAATGAGGACGGCTGGCTTCTGGGTGAGGGAGATGCTCCCTGGGATCAGTGAGAGGGTAGTAATAGGTCACAAATCAATATCAAGGAAAGCAGCAAAAATAATGATGTTGGTGATTTATATTGATGGCTTCTATTTTCCTGAGAAACGTTAGCATTTAGAGCACAGAGACTAGCTCCTATTAAAGTCCATTTGTGGCCATGGGGTGAGGGGGGAGGTGAGGTCACCTGCTGTTATTGTCTTTAAACAGGTTATTACGCACTGGGCAGGCTTACTTTGTAATTGTCTCTCTTAATGATTAAGTGTACAGCTGCTCTGTTAAAGACCCTGGCTTTATGAACTAGGTTTAACTAACTGAATGCTTCAGGATTCAAGGCAGATAGTTGTATGATTGCTACATGGGTTGAAAACAATATATATCTTCATTACTCTTTAAACCAAACAATATTTGGAAAGCCACATATTCTTGCTTTAGTTCAATTACTGTTGATTGAGACAATGTGAGCTGACGGCTGAGAAGCAAAACAGGAGCGAAAGCAAAGCAAAGAAAAAGTATAGAGGGTATGGTCTGTGAAAGGCAACATCATTTCATTTCAATTTTGAGGAAAGGGAGAGCACATTTCCAAAATGTTCACTGAGAATGAATATCAAACTATATATACAAAACATGCAATGGAAGTATTTCAGGGTTGATACCAGCTTGTGCATATTTTGCCAGATATCAACAGAAATAAGTAAAAATACACTGACAAACAACAAAGTATACCCAGAAATACCGGCTAACACTCTTGCTGAGTTTCTAACAGTATTACTTGGATTTCTTCCATTAATTTCTGCACTCTTTGCTGAAAGAATGTAATGGTGTTTTCTATTTTCACCATTATCTCTTTTCATATGTCATCTTTTACGATGCTGTAACCCCACTGCCCCTGATGAGTATTTGTTTATTTCAGTGACATTGAGTTATCACCTCAATTTGTACATCTTTCCATGTCTATTTATCTACTTTCTTCAATGTCATTTCAGCCTGAAAGATGAATGAATATGGCAGTTCTTTGATTAATATTGTATTTCATAGAATGATTTTATTATGTTATTATTTGATACTACATTCATAAGGACGGAGATTCAAAAAGATACATTTAAATAAACTAAAATAGATAATGCATAATATTTGATGAGTAATTTTAGTTAATTTACATCTACGGATATACAGAAAGTTACTAATGTGTTGATAAATTATGCCCACTTCAAGTCAGTTTACATGGATTTTTTTCTTTCAGAGATAATATCTTTAATTTTCACTTCATTGCATTAACAGTACTCACACTACTGCACTGAATTAAGTCCATACTTTTCACACCCTCATTTATAATTCCTTCTCTTGTTTTGCATATTTAAAATCCAAGGTATTAACAGATAAAACCCTTCCTGTATTCTGGGGGTTAAAAAGACTAATTTATCAAGGTATTTGCTTAATTTCTTTCTGTACAAAAATGTCTCTTCTAAAAACTTCTCAAGAGATAAAAAAGTATATATTGATTTGAACATGTAGAGTTTTTACCTGGAACTAGTTTCTTCAGAACAAATGTCCATATGTAAACTATTTTAGACTGAGGCACACAAACTAATTTCTTTTCACCTCTGTTTTACTGGGGTAGTGGCAGAAGTTTAAAACTGTGAAATTATCTTGGACACCACTATGGGTAATTGGGGTAAGTGAGAAAATGTGTCTTTTTGTATTTCAGATGAGCTGATCCTTTAAGCCATAATCGACACTGGCCATTCCGGGGGAATAAATCCCTCTGGTAGGACTGGCAAGTTGTGCAGTGGGAAAAGAAATAAGCTCTTATAATATGTTATTAGAACACAAATTTCTAGGGAAATGCAATACTGATTTTGTTTAAAGTATATTTATGAAATCCAACAACTTGAAAATGAATTTAAGAACCAGGGATGAAACAACATAATTATAAAAACTCTGCTGCTGACTTCCACGACTGCTAAGTTTATCCTTTACCATTAAGATGCCCACTTCTTACCTTTCCGTCATAACGCTTCACAATGAACTGATCCAGGCCTAGACCTGAAAAACAAACAGACAGAGAAAATAAAAAGTCATACAGATTAGGAGACGAATATTATCAAATGAGATGCGAGGCAGACTAGCTACACAGCGGTGCATCAAGATTTATGCCTAGAATGAAGCAGAGCAAATTATTTTACTTTGTCATTACTAAACCTCTGGTAATCACTGACATGTACCAGAGATTAATAATAGTTATTAACAAGCCATTTCGCAAATCTTTTCAAATAAACAATCATCAGCATTCCACTTCGACTCTTCTGATCAACAGTTAGGACAACCAGGGCTTATGTTATAGATCCAGGTCAGAAGTGCACACCAAGATCGATAGTATGCCATGTTTATATTTATATATGTATATTATATTATGTATCTCAAAGGGTTTGGGTTCATTAGAAATCAATGTCACTATATTATGCTAACACAATGAATAATGACTTCAATGAAGCACACATATGGATGAGTTGAAAATGAGTCATCTTCTGTCCTGTCAGTCTTACAGTAGGCTTATTTCTGTCATGTACTTCTAAAGCATTCATTCCTTTTGTAGCTGACTACAATTGGGATTTTCCCCACTTTTTATTTTTTTACTAAACTTAATCAAATATGTAAAACAATATGTATGTGTAAAAAAAGACAATCCTACCTCCTAAAGTAATTCAAACTAATACACCTTGTTGGGACTGTTATTTTCTGAACTCTTGCGTGAGGCGGCAGTTCTCATCTGTTAAATGAAACACACAGTAAAGAAAGACTAGCAGCCCACTGACCTGTCTCAAATCAGATTAACTTTGAGGGTGATGGTTAAGAGTATAATCTCATTAAAGTGAACACTAATTAAGTGAACATCATAATTTATTTTGAAGTTGGCTTCATCAGAACTACATACCTACTAATCACCTAAGACCTCTGCAAACAGCCTAAAAACCTTCTCCTGCTCAGTCAATAATACTTTAACTTCAGGTCAACCCCTCAGTCAAGAGATTCCTAATTCAGGGACTGCATCGCTAAACTTAATGTCCATGTTACTAAGCCAAATGCAGGGCTAAGAAGGTCTATCCCATTCACCATCCAAGGCTGTTTCAAAAGGCACCTGAAAAGGCAGCCTCGTTTTGTCCACATTTGAAAGGACTGGTTTATCTAGCAAGCCCTTATTATTCCACAATCTGTTTGTTAAGGACAAGTCATAAAATTCACATTTTAATTTAACAAGTTGATAAGGACCACCTGAAAGCTCCAGGAGTCTCATTTATAAAACTGTGCATAGAAACCTCACTAAAAGTGTATGTGCGCCCAAAAGCCAAAATATTCAGACTTATAAAACCGTGTGTACGCACACTTGTAAGCAAGTTCCCTTAATAAATCACAATCAACTTGAAATGTTGCGCATGTGAGGGAGCTCCATGTCCGACCCTTCAAACGCCCATAGTTGCCTATAAATGGTCAGTGAAACGCCCCTCATTAATATTAATACGTACTGACTGCAGGAAGAAAAGGAGGCAAATTCTGACAGAAAAGCTACAAAACGAGATTTAACTTAGTGTGACACTCATGTTCCTTTTAGTGAAGCTGAAGCATGTTGTTTGGTGGGTAAAAAACGCACTTTCAGCTCCACCCCTTTATAACCTATCTGCAGGAAGAGGCATCCCTCTTGAGCAGTGACATCACTGACCAGAGGGGAACACACACATGCAAGACAGGATGACCCAGGTACTAATTTGGATCCCCGATGGATGGATGGATGGATGGATTGTCCTCCTGTTCACCTTATTTATGAGAATAAATTTTGATGCATGCAAGTAGGCCTATTAATTAACATGATTCCTGATTAAACTGTCCAACATATTTGAGGTGTTCTTTTGCAGAAACAGATATCTCCATTTGTTTTTATTATCCTCAGTCATGGTTCTTTTTGTGCGCCGCAAATTATCTTAAATTAGCCTATGTTTTTTGTATTGCACACTTCAGAGAAAATCAATCAAACGAGTGTATGATTATTTAGAAAGGCTTTAAGCCTATACTACTCAGTGGTAATATTTCGATATATTTTACACAGTAGTAGGCCTTCATTTCAAACAGTTTCATCCTTCTGCCATGTGAGTCGCCGTTTCTCATTTCTCCTCTTTATGGTACTTACGGGACACACATTTTCCTGTCAAGTTTGTTTTTTATAGATCACAACCTTTGCTTGGGAAGTGCCGTACACACGTTTTCAGCCCTGTTTTGTACGAATGCACAGTTTATGAATGAGACCCCAGGAGTATTGGTCTTTATGAGGCTGGATGGGTGGGAGGATCCAGATTATTAACTGGGATGCAATCGAGAACCTGTTTAATTAAATGGAGAATTCAAAATAAATAAATGAAAGGGGGGGAGGGGTGCTATCTTCTATGTTTTTATGAAATCCATACTTTATTCATCATCTATGTGCCAGAAAGTCTGCTGAGCGTTAAAAGAATAGAATCAGGCTAATTTATCAGAACATCATTACTTTAACTGTTGGTTAAATAAAAATTAAGCTGGGGGCATTAAGAAGAGAATGCACTGGGGTGCAAGATGTACCGCAGTGTGCTCAGCTCATCATCACTTTAATTTCAGTTTGGAAGGGCTAAAAACAGGATAAAAAAAGAAGAGCTGGGGAACCATGAAATGGGGAGGAGAGGTACTGGGTCTGAGAATGGAAGGCCAATGGGGGCCAAGCTAGGGTAAGTCTTGAGCAAGGTTAACAGATGGGAAGTGCTGAGGTGAGCAGTAAAAGCAGCGCAGACGTGACAGGCCCAGCTAACTCCTTATTAAATGCTAACTGCATGATGTATAAGTCCTTGTACACTGAGCAGTCGACCGCAAGTCAGTGATGGAGGCTAATATACATATATATACTCCCATCCAATACAATACAATGTTACGTCACATCCAACTGAATTTCAGTTCTGAATAACAGGATAATGACAGATAATGACAAAAGTGGTGCTGAAACATGCCTATGCTAAGTTAAGCTTGCTGCCTTCCCAACCCTCCCATGGCTGAAGATCAAATATCTGTGACTGGCTCCATGTGTGACGCCTGAGATCTGCTCTGGTTTGAACCCGTTAATTGATACACCAACTACTGTGCTGTGATTCCCTCAGCTCAGCGTGATCGGACAACGCTGTCATTCCGCCACCCCCCTGAATCCCTTCATACCTGGGAACATGGTTAGGGGGATTGTTATTTGATGAACTGTCGTAAGTCCTGAACTGCCAAGCCTGTGCTAAGTACTCCTGTAGCTTGATTGGCAGGTTCTGTTGGGTAATGCTCTGCCAGTGGAGTGGTTTGATCTCAGCATGAGTAACTGGAATAGTGATGACCATAAACTACCTGAATGCATGTCCCGTTACACATGCATGCTCGCCAGGGTGCATTGTAACATCCTAGAATCGGCCTAAACATTTACGTGAATCTGCAGAACCAGACTCAAGGAATAAAGTAAAATGGAGTTGAAATCATTAAAAACAAATAATTGGAGCACGCCAGTGGGTGTAAAGTAGCCTTTGATCAAACAAGTGGTAAAGGTGCTGGAAGCAAAGAGAGGAGACTCACTCTCAGGCTGCTTCTCGTTAGGTGTGATGGAGCGTATGAAGTCCTGGGGCGTCATGTAGACCTCAGTATCTCCGTGCTCGCCGACAACCTTCAGAGTGGCAAAGTAGCGGAAAATCTTGTCTGGGGTTGAGTAGGCTCTTATCCGGTTCTCATACTCCATCACCTGCCAACCAGACAGGAAGTGCCAATTAATGAGGCAACATTTCACACATCAGGCATGAGCACCACTTTAATACACCAAAACAACAACCGAAGTAAAGAGCCAGCAATATTCCAATCTTGTGTGTAATAAGGGAAATAATCGGGGGGGGGCATTCAGATAGCTGACAGTGTGAAGGACTGACCAGAATAACGAAGCAGGTGGCGGCAGGAAAACAGGCCGTCAGTCCTGATGGGGAGGCATATTAACCTCTTGACTACTCCTAACTGTCACATAATCAAAACAGGAAATTGTTAGGAGTGTGGTTTTTGTGTTCATGTCTTTCCTGCTTCCTGTGTTTCTCTGTGTAGTCTTGTTCAGTTAGTTGGGTCCTCCAACCTGCCTCCACCCCACCCACCGTAACAGAAATAGTGTTTTTGGGATCGGTCTGACTGACAGGATAACATGAGGGTAGACATGTCAGGATACCTACTTTTGTTGGACGATAGTGTCCCAGAAATATTTATTGCTGCTCTTACAGTAGATCTCTTACTTTAATGATGCTTGTATGTTGTTCCTCAAATGTAAATCACTTTAGATAAAAGATTCTGCCAAATATATAATCAACATAGTTGCTTTTTCACATTAATGGGCTCTCCTCTACTCGTTCAGCTTAAACCAAAAATGTTCCTACACCGCAGCTGTGGAGTGCAGCTTTTAACTTATTCTGGTACAATGTTGGTGATGATGCTAAAATATTGGAGACAATCTTGTGTATTTTATGAAGACAAACGCGTATGTAAACACAATAAGCAATATTGAAGTCATGTTCACATATTGTACGATAAGTCGATAACGTAATTATCCTGACAGGCCAACATGAGGGTACACTATAAAACAATCACAGCCACAGAAAGCTGCTACAACCATACAAGTCTAACAGCATGGCATCACCGGCATACCGGCAAGTCCAACATTTTGCAAAATACAAAAAACTACTTTATTCAGCTATGATACACATATTGGCCACATCAATGTTTGCCTTCACACTGCCATCTGTTTTCAGCAGACAGTTTCAAACAGAAATTGACAGAGAGGTGTCTGTTTGAGAGCTGCGCTCTCTACACGGACGGTTATTTTATGTGACGCTGAATGATTGTGCACACTACACAAACTCCCTGTGGGAAAAGTAAAATACATTTTACAGCTTCAACTTTCTGAGGCGTTTATCCACTTGTGATAGCAGAAAGAGCAAGAGAGACACACAGACTTTGATCATCAAACTAGATTCTGTTGTCGAGCCTGATGATGATTGCGTGCTTCTGTGCTGGTTCTCCTTCTTTAGCAGATCTTATAATGGCCATCAGGGAAATCAAAGGAGCATGTCCCCCAGAAGAGGCAACCATCAGTGTATGGATGAGAGGTTATAGGACAGTTGTGCAGCATGCCGGAGATCCTGACTGATGGGAAGCTCTGGATATGCCGTCATCTCCCTCTGGCTTTCATTTCCTCAGATTTACAGGCTACTGATCTCAGCATCACCCACACTGATGGAGACTCAATCCTATTCTTTTGAGCTTTCAGCCATTTATGCTCTCCCTTTCCATTACAAAAATTGCACAGACACCACCAGGGGGGTGAAATTCATGTCACGCCAGTTATTTATTCATTTTTTTCTCAGATTTTCAAAGGTTGTTGTGCAACATCTGAGACAAGAGTGGTAAATCCATTTTAAAGTAAGAGGGTGAAAGCACTGCATTTTAAACACACATTAGAGTGAAAATTACTTCCTACTGCATAATTTTGCATTTTCGCCTTCTGAAAAAAGTGAAGAAGAAAATATATGGAAGGACAAAAAAAAACAAGTGTAAGTACTTCCCACAAATACTGTAAAACTCTATCAACATACACCCGTTTCAAGGTCAGTCACTGATGGACATGCACGGGCAAACCTAGACTCTTCATGACAAAGTGAGTGAGCTGGCACAAACAATCTATTTTTTCCAACACACTAGTGAATCCTGCGGTGCTGGGATGGTTTGCTCCCTAGACATCTATATGCTTTGAGCAGACTGTGGTTGCTGCTGATGAAAGAGGGATTGTGCAATTTTTACATCTACACCCATAAGTCCAATGGACCATTGCATCACATTTTCTTTGAAAAAAAATTTCATCTGTTGTTCAAAGCTCTTCCTCTTTCCTTGTCCCTGGTCCTCCAACAATAATATGCAGGGCTACAAACTGTTTATTTGGCATCGTATGAAAGACCCTTTGTTCCTCTGCTGCTGCTCCTTTGTCATCGGCTGCCTAATTAACAGCAATAAAATCTTACGGGTGGTACACTTCTTTTGTTTATGACAGCAGCAATGCTGGCTCATTTCCTTTCTGTGTCTCCGTAAAATATTCTGTCAAAATATACTGCCGTTTGCATATCTGGCATTGATTAGGAGGGCTTTCAAAATACCATTCTAGGGGTGAATTAAATACTGCACTGACTGAACAGCTCTCTGTTTATTGTTTATTGATTACCTTGCGGTCGCGGAATCCAGATCGTGGCTTCTTTTTTTTCCCCTCACCACCTTCATCCTTTGCTTCTTCGTCTCCACTGCTGGCCTCCACCGATTTCTCTGACTCTGAATCAGAATCTGTATCCCTCACAAAATCAGGTCCCTCTTCGCCTGGTTGCTCAGAGTGGCGAACGGATGGCCCCGCATCTGCATATGCTCTAGTTGTCAACAAAGAAACAGATTAACACCTGGGGGACATTTCTATGTCATCTATCAAGAAGGTTAAGTACTGCAATCTCTCTTTGTGTTTTGCTCTGGTAACAAGTAGGAAACAGAGAGGGAATGAGAGAGATTATGTGCTGCACTGTGCTGTTGCTGTGCAATGCGGAGAGGTTAGCCATGGCAAACTCCCACATGACCATGACTAAATTGAAAATTGGAATAATAATAATAAATAGCCGAGTCTGTCTGGGGCAGGCTGAATAATTCAGTTTAATGAGACACAAGGAGAATGAAGCCTGGGGTGAAAGCCTGGAACAGTCTCGTCCCATCAGTCTCAAATACCCTGAGGCACCATCCATCACTGTGCCTCCTGCAGCTCAGTCATCCTGTCCCCGTAGAGCTCTCATCTTAAGACCCTCTCCACCATTTTGCCTTAACTAAACACTGGCCTCCTAAGTAATAATAATAAACTTTGTTTCTGTAGCGCCTTTCATAAACAGAGTTACAAGGTGCTTCACACAATACAATACCATAAAGCAAATCATAGTGAGATAAATCAAAATATAAAAGAACATCTGAATAGACAAAAATAAAAATATTAGACAAATGCCAGTCTGTACAGGTTGGTTTTTAAAAGCTTTTTAAACCGAGGCACTGAACCAGCTGATACAGTAAAAGTATGATCGTAGTGGTGACTTGGAATGTCAACAGAAATGCAGGTAAGCAAATTCAATTTGTGGTTTCCCCGATAGTTTTGTAATGTTGGGGGGCTGAATTTGGCGTGTGCTCAAAAGTCAAACTGCTGCTGAATACTGCACCGCACGCAAGTTCAAGGTCTGTTCTTTTAATGGGGCCCGCGGCAGATGGAGGAGCTTGCAAGTCATGGTGTGAAGAGACGCAATTGTCTAGAGAAAGAAGCAAGAAGAGGCACTCCAAAGTGTGGTGTGTCGTTAAAGGGGGAATATCTTTGATGTGGTAGGAAAACAAGAAAACTGCAGCTTAAAAGACATGTGAAAGCTGGAAACCCAGTCATATGACACTGTTGGCAAGCACTAATTTTAAGGTTTTATGGCAAGCCAGTACCAATCAAAGCCAAACTGTTTTCTTTACACTAACATATTTTGTAGTTTATGGTTATTTTTAAATTAAGGGACAAAAAAACATTTTTATATTGAATTCAATAGAAGTATCTGAAGGCTACTATTATTGAGTCAGCATTCACACTATTGTTATCCAATTATTTTCTCATTAGTAAATAGCAGAGATGCTCACAAGTCTCTGAGCTAGAGTCCAAGTCAAGTCGCAAGTCTCTCGTGGTTATAATGAGTGTTCTATATAATTCTGTAACTGTAACCTGTTTTTCACTGAGAGAGCTCAACCATGTAATGTGCAATGAGTCTACAAATAATCACAGCTTATGAACTACTGTAAGTCAACACATTCCCCAGACTCTCAAACTAATGTTAATGTTAAATTACTAATGAGAAAATAAAAAACTGTAACGTTAGATTATTAACAATAAACCTGTAACCTGTTTGCAGCCAACGTTAACAATTAACGTTACGGCAGCCAGCGGGACATAAATGTTTACGTCAATCTTCTACAAGTTTGGCAAGCAAACAAATGCTTATTCATCTTTTCATGAATGACAGTCGGGAGTTAACCTCTCGTAGGTCGTGGCTAAAGCAAGAAGCAGGCTAACGTTAGATGGCCAATGCTGAGCTACACATGTTTACTAAACTATCAGGTTATTTATCTATTTTGCATTCAGCGCTTCTTTTGTTTGGGTCTTGTTGTATGAAGTTTTACAGCCAAAGCTTATGATGAATGGCACAGCAGCTGCCGGTGCGGTTATGTTTGTTGTCCTCTCACGTGTGGCCGTGTGGAGCAGACAGGTACTATTATGTTACGTAGGTAGGTTATAGGTAACGCAGGGAGAGGAATAACAGCAAGCTTATCAGATGTTTCCTAAAACTAAATATTGTTCACGAGTCCCGCACCTCGAGTCCGAGTCTCAAACTCCAGTCCCCATTTGTTGTACACAGAAGCACACAGGTGTATTAAAGGGGCCAGTCCTACCTTTTCCAGAGCAGCCCAGCACTAGCAGACACACCAGTTACCCCAGCCAGGGCTGCCAGCATCAGCCTCCTCCGGCCAGACCCTCGCACTGCTCCAGTGTGGTAGCGCCGGGACAACTGCGCTAGCCCCACCGAAACTGCGGACAATGCCCGCAAGCGGAACATCCTGCAGAGAGAGAAAGATAAAGGTGTGGTGAAACAACTGACACTCTTAACAGGGCCCACATAGAACTGTACTGTCCTTTAGTTTTAGGGAATTTTGTCAATATTATATTGGAGTTTATATCCTGATTTTATCTGAGGTACCTGTTTATTTTATTGGTTTTTATTTTCTTCTCATGTTTTTTTAATCATTCACTGTTGTATTTCATTTTATCTTTCCCTCTGTGAAGCATTTTGTACTTTGTTTTGGTAAGTGCTCTATAAATAAAGTTTATTATTATCATCACTTTGCTAAGCACATTCCTTCTAAAGTCATGGAAATCTTAGGTAAAGATATGAAATAATTTAACCTAAAAACTAATTAACACTCATCTGAAGAGGCAAAGCTTAGAACAATAGCAGTGCACTCGTGGGATCTGTCTTCATACTGCACTGCAGGCAAAACTGTACCTTCAACAGTCAATGCATAAGTGTCCTGGAATCCTGACGCACCTCAATTAATAAACAACGAAAGCAAGGATAAAACTAATTGCCACCAGTGCCGCTAAGCTCCAGAACTTAATTTTCATCCAGACTGTTGTTTAATTCATCTGTGTCACAGAAAGATGATTAACAATTAGGCAAGGGGCTGGTGGTGTGCACCTGTAGCCCCCGTGTGTACAAAGAAAGGACAGAGGAGTTCATCCCACTGAGGCCCAAACCTGCCACCTGTCGATATCCTATTAACAATTCAGACACCAAATGTCAAACTGATTCAGCAGAAAGATAAAAGAATACAAGGTATATGCTAACTGAAGTGTTCAGCAGCCCACGGCAGCGGGCACTGAGGTGAAAAGCAAGCATGTATGCACACCATTTCTGTGGAGATGGAGACAGCCTGATACCAAAAGAGACCACCACAACTAAAAACTGAACAATAGAACAAGTTGATTGACAGTCGAAGGTACTTGTACTGTAGCACTGACAAATAAATGTTGTGTAATGTACTAACTCATAGTACATGTGTTGCAACAATGCATTTATTGTGAATTGTCCTCTAATAAATAGTTGTATAGTACTACTATGTGGACAACCTACTGCTGCAATACATTTAGTGAATATTGTCCCCATAAATAATTGCACACACATTTAAAATATTTCAATATGTATATTTGCATGATAAAAAAATGTTATCAATTAATTTTATGTAATTTTCTTATTGAATTGTTGACATTTTATTACCCACCATAAGATCAGACACTATTTCTGATGACAAAATATGCTGATCATGAACTGCAAATACCGAAATGAAGGATTGAGGCCGTCATTTCAGAGTCATTTTGCAAATGCTGGCCTGAGAGAACGCCTATCAGATCTGCTTATAATGTATTTAGAGGTTTTTATGTTCGACAGGAAAGAATCTTTCATCTTTGCTGCCCCAACAAAGCATGACACAAATAGATACACACACGCCGTACGAGCCTGAATATACAGGAGGCAGAGGGACAAACACAAAACTACTGTTCTTGATCTATTTATAATGCCCATTTAGGCTAGTGTAATTAATGTCTTCCTGGGCCTTGTCAACTGAGTTGAAATTAAACATTTTCAAAGTGAGGGTTACCCATGGTCTATGAAATCCCCAGTTGCTTGGAGCTTGTACAGAAAACAGATTTTTACACCTGAGACAGGCCAACGCTCTCTGTCGTCTCACCAAGCTGTCAGAACTTTTTGTCAGGAAGGGAACAGTGGGAATGTGTTTATCTTGAATGAAAAGCAGTGAGACACACTACAGCTACAACCATGACAATGGCTTAGGGAGATTTAGGAATTAGGGGTGTGTAATCAAGTGTATCAAAAACACTTAGTCCGCACATTCAATGTGTCATGCATGCAGCACACATGTGCTAGAGTTAAACAAGCAATAACCTGTAGCAAAAGTGTGTTGGAGCTCTTGACCATCCGCTGAGGTTTTAGCAAGTTGAACAGTACATTACACAGTACAATAGGGCAATGAACAAAAACATATCAATAGTGATATTAAGGGTCAGTGGTGGACCTGTTCAATGTGTTAAAAGCATTCTCAAGGTGCTTCTGAAAGATGTGCCCTTAAAAGACAACAACGCCTACTAATCCTCAAGTCACTTGCATCCAACTTCTTTTGCCTTTGATTTACATCCATGATGCAAGGTGCAATATTCTCAAGATAAATGTTAAATCATTGTCTAAAATTGGTCAAATCATGTGTTACCTCCTACACCAAACCCCAGCCAAGTAGGACTATGTTTTAAATCTGATGCTGCCTACCTGACAGAATAAAGTACGGGACATTGTTGTCATGGATGTCTCAGGTTGCATCCCCTCGCAGTTAGCAAGACACAAGTGTGTAAAGACATATATTTTCCTTCTTTTAAAATCAGTCAGTTCAGCCAGTCCCACCGCACAATCAAGAATCACGTTAAGCTCCTTCAATCTGGTGACATGGTCCAGGGACCTGGAACTAACCTGGGACCTGCTAAATCAATGGGTCATCAACATCCTCTCTCACATACCAGTGATATGCTGAACTGCCCATCAGATAAACATTGAAGAGAAGTGAAAATTACTTGGTACAGTACATCGATGACAGGATCCTCAAAAACTAAAAGGGCCAGAAAAACAGTGGCCAGTGGTGTCACCTCAAAATGAGGCACTAAAAATGATGTTTTATGCCCTCAGTTGAAACTAGTGATACATTCCTCTCAAACAATGGTAAACTGGACAGTTTTAAGAAGCTAAACTTTGCAGTTCCTCTGTTGCTCAGGGATGTTTTCTGCCTCCAAGCAGTGAAATAAAACAGAGAGAAGGGGATTATTGTCAGGAGCACCAGGAGCACAGGTGAAGAAAAGTTTGCATGTCTACCTTCTACCCTCAGTGTCTCATGAAAACAACAGTCCCAGTTTGGAAACTTTCAACTGGAATATGAAGTTAATAAACACAAAAGTGTTAAGACTGTGTGTACTGCAGGTGAATTGATCAAAAAGGGGATTAGGCTGGTACACAATTTTAGCAAACATCACACAAATTGGCAAACAAACATGATTACTGTTTAATGGTCTGAACAGACCTGACAGCTCTGTTTGGTCAGATCCCACAATGTCCAAAACTAGGGTCCAGAGACACCCAAAGTTCCTGCTGCAAGGTTAATAATATTTCCAAGTACAATGAGGAAAGGTTTACTTTCAGCACAACACTAGCTTGTCTGAGAATAATCACACGCTGGATTCTCCCAACACCACCTATTAGGTTATATAACGTTAACAATATAATGTTGACAAAAATCATGTCAGATGAGTACCCGGACACAAAACATTCCTTTTTCATGTGGGGTGTGGTTGACATGATTATATGATCCCCACCGATGGGTCGGGATCTTTCATCAACACTTACGCGTCAAACTGTCCTCAACAGCTATTGGCAAATATACAACGATACAAATGTTGCCCTTATGGTAACGTTAGTGTAAAGTTAGACATATAATATACCAGAAGCCCCAAAGTTGTTCACAAGGACCCCAATGTTTTGTTTTTAGCTGTAACGTTAAGTTGACCTCGTTGACCACCGCCTTCATTAACATGACATTAGCGATTAACTGCCTGCTAACAAGTAAAACCAGTAATAGCTACACAACAGCAGTCCTACTTTTTTATCACTTCTTACTGTTAATTGTGACATGTTTCGCATGTATCGGGTCCCGGGGCAGTCAGGCTTTCTTGGGGGGGCAGCTAACGCTAACTACTAGCATGCTAGCAGTTGACGTAAGGATAAATGTCTACAGTTTGCACAGGGAGCTGCTACTTCATCGGCTGCTTCGTTAGACAGCTGTCTTAGCAAACAAGTGGCACGGTTACTCACATTAGTGACAAACGCCAGTCAGTCCAAAATGATAATGTCGTCGGTGTTTCAGAGTGCGTCTTTCCCCTTTCAGTCTGCAGAGATGGAGCGCAGTGTAAACAGCAGTTCCGTGTTCACTAACAACCGTGCAGACGGCGGGGCGGGGCAACATCTCCGCGCACCCAGCTCCTTGCGTTACAGACGTCCCTCTACACGGTCACACTACGTCCGGGCAACTAGCTCACAATCATAGGAGTTGGTAGACAAAATACTGAGAATATCTTTAAAAGCCAAAACAGCTACCAAAATGAAGAAAATAACGTTTATATGGTAAAATTTAGACAACTATCTAAATAAATCTAAAATTGTATGACTATAAACTAAAGTCAGAATGAAAAAGGTGAGCAAACTTACCCACAGACAAACTGCAAGACAGTGGTGATGGCATAAAGGACCTTGATAATATTACTAAATGCCACAGTAGCCTGTGTGTATAATATTTTTGATGAGGTCATTATTACAATACAAATAAGATAAGTATCGTTTGAAACTGATGGTATATCACAGGTTCACATACATTTAGCATCTCAATGTGATTTGAATGAATAAACAGTTGTGTGTAGGTTTTGAAATACGTACACTTTGAATTCAGCTTAGGGCAATTCTATTTCTGATTTTAAAACAACCCATTAATTTCAGTAACATTACTGAATTGAACTGGGAGACAGGGAGTCTCTGCTGTCAGTCACGCATGCCTTGACAGAGCTCCGGCATAAAAATGTATCAGAACTAAATGAGTTGCCTCTTTGCAGTGTGCCAGTTATAATTGTTGCCGTGAATGCATATTTGGCTGGACTGAATGCATTATGTGAAAGGAAAAGGCTGGGGAGCTGCTGAGTCAACTGGGGATGTGTCATGGAAGACTGCAGGTTGCAGGGACTTGTCACATCTCATGAAAGTGCAGGTCAAATGTCTGTTTGATGTGACCATACATCAATGTTAATAGGGTTATGAATAAAGTAAAGATAGATAAAATACATTATACAAAAACACATTTCTTTTCATGTCATCCTGCTTTGGTAGATTTACTTCACCTAAGTTACAGAATGTAAAGACACACAAACGAATATATCCGGTACTATTACACATTCTTATCTGTACAAATCTTTTCCCACCATCTTTTGTAAAAGCGCTTTTTAATACCACTTTCTCCAGTCTCTCTCTCTCTCTCTCTCTCTCTGACTCTTTCTCTCACTTTCATCCTCCTTTTTTTAATAAGGTGACTGTGCCTGCAGTCCAGTGCAGGGTTCATTAATGCAAGCAATTTATCACAAGAGCCCCACCATATATAAATGTCAACTATTGAAATTTCATATTGAATTTGAATAGGTTAACAACAGTAATAATCACAGCATGGCCTAGGTGTCCACAATGGCAGTGCATATTTCTCTAATTCACAGCCATAAATCTTATTCACACACACATGTCAGTATTTTATTATAATCCTAAACGTGTATAACACAATTCAAAACAGTTATTTAAATTTGAAGATTGGACCTAATCAGCTCTCCAAAATCCGGCCCTCTGTATGTACACACCTAAAATACACAAAATATGCACAAATCAACAGTGTGCACAAGTTGGAAAGGAATA